TTACAGTACATATGTTTCTCAATCCAGGGTAATTTAAAAAAGATGTGGTGGTGTAGTTTTTAACAACTTATATGATTGAGATATTAATTCAATACAGCAACATTTAAAATTGTTTCATGGTTGTGGCTATTTTTTTACAAATTGAGTTGCATACTATTTAACATAATGTACAGTTATGTTTTTTGATAGAAATTTGATTAACTTTACACAGTGACACCTACATGTTTTTTGTACATTATATTAATTTATTGAAATAGGATATATTACTATTAATATATTGATTGATATTTATAATTAGGATACAATTTATATACAGAGTATCAGCTGAATCCGGTACAATTTTGACCCTCCTCCTCAAACAATTCTTTGTTTTACTGCCTCCGCAACAGCTTTGGCATGTGCTGGTAAATTGCATACCACATTTCAAAAAACATGGCAGCCGTAAGGAGCTACATGTATCTATATCAGTTGGAGGCTGTTTGTGATTTATTTTCCTGCTTTCAACACAGGTTAATTGCACTTGCTAAACTTTTCAACTGTATCTCTGTCTTGATGATCGATAAGTAAATAAACAGCTGAATATGAAAATGTCACTCTGGTTTTGATTTGACGATAAACTACATTGTGTCTAGACACTAATGGTCAATGATGGATGTCAGTCATTGATGTCGCTGTCGTCTGACCTCCCCATCAATGCTTTCTAGCAGTACTACATGTACATATATTATCAAAAGTAATGATAGATTTATTGATACAGAATTACTTCTTAGTTTTGCAATTGCCTTCAAGCAGTCTCAGTTGGCCAATCTTGACTTCAGTGATTTACCAGCAATCTAAATCACATTTATTTGTTACCCTGCTTTCAACTCAACACAAACCAAGCTTTACATTTCCTTTTAGTCAGCTACAAAGCGTCAGTGCTTCTATTTTTTGTTTTGTTTTGTCCAGAAATAGTATGAAATATTATATAAGTCAAGGCAAAATGTCAAAGTTGTTGGAAGCCATCCGATTATTGGTGTAAATCAGAGAGTAGTAAACCGCTACCCTAAAATGCTTTCAGTGAATACTGAAATGCAGGTTTCAAACCGACACATGTGATGACAAGGTGTATTGTGCATGTAAATCTGTTTTTGAGGCCAGAGGTGCATGTGTAATACTTACTTTATGTTTTTCCTTTTATTTGCTGGCTTTGAACTTTTCTTTTTCTTCTCCCTGGGCTCTTTTTTCTTTTTCTTCTCACCAGGTTCTTTCTTTTTCCTCTTTTTCTTTTTAGTTTCCCCATCCTGCTGTTCGCTTCCAGATTTCCTCTTTTTTCTTGCTTTTAATTTTTTGGGGGGCTTTTTTTCTTCCTGTTGCAATAGTTCCTCCGGCACACTAAGGAAAGCTGACGTCATGCAGTCTGGTTCATTATTTTGACTCATTGAAGAAGTTGTTGCCTTGGCAATCTCAGTTTCCAAGACAGCAGAGGCAGCCTCTGAAACATCTGCATCGTGGAGATCAAATGATGTACAAGCAACAGGACTGGATCCTGCCGGCACATCAACAGGTGATGGCGATCTTGAAGAAGCAAGTGATATTGACGAGACATCACTCTGTAATCCAGCTGGCAAAAATTCTTCATCATCTTCAGAATCAGTAAACATTGGCCCTTCAAACTCCATCGCAACTTTTCAGGAATTAATTGTAATTAGATTTTACAATATTTCTGGTCAGGTTTGCTGCAATGAATGAAATTCAAAATTAGTACATAAATATAAATATATGCATTTTGTCTTTGAAATTATTGTAAGCCACTAAGGTGTCTCTTTCAGCACATTAGCCTGGAGCATTGCCCAAAATTACAATCATCAGAAATAGCTGCTTGCAGACTTCAGTCAGACACTGCATATACTGGTACAATTACATGTATAGCAAATTTCAACTGGGCTACAAAAGTAGGTCTCCTTTCATTATGATAATCTATGATGAAAACTACTGTTGAGAAATTAAACGTTTCAAGAATTGGAAGCTTCACTTGTCATGAAAATGAACCAGCTCTCGATCAAAGAATCACAGACATACTAACAAGAAAATAACTTCTATTGTTTTCTAAAGATTTTGAACTGCTATGCTCAAAGATGCCTGAGGAGAACACTTGCACTAACAGTACGTACATTAACTAAGCATGTACCTTGTAAATCTACAACAAGGTTTTGCATCACTAGAAAGAATGAGAGCATACCGACCAAAATGTCATGATGATATGACTAATTACTACCATCTTTCATATCATTTACATGATATCACACTCTTGACAAATTAGGATACTGTAAAGGGGTTAATTATTCACTGGGTTTTAATTTTTCTTATTTCGCTGATTGGAAAATGCGCTAAATTAAAACCCAGTGAATATGTAAAATTTAGCATAGAACACAATATCTAAACGATAAAACCATGAATTTAAAACCCACTGAATATGTCTGGAATGGTAGATCAGCGAAACCAGTGAAAATTAGTAATTTTACAGTATGTTGCAAGCAATTGCAAGCAGGAAGGGGGCATGGCTATTATCTTTTTTTCAATTTTCCTCAAAGATAATTCAGTATTCAATTTTTATTTTTTTACTAACTAAAAACATAGGAACCAGTGAAATGGTTATAGCCAAAAATTGTCCAAAAGTTGCTATGGTGTCCTGTATTAAATTAAGAACCTAGTGCTTTTTGGAACAATAGTTGACTCGTTGTAGTTCTTTGTTTGATTGACAGTTTTGGCTTGACTTGATGAACTCATGACAGTTATGCATATGATGTATAGTAAGCATTCCCAATAAGGATCTTATGGTCCAATAAATTAGCATTGATTATCAATGGTCATAAAAGTGTTGCTGTAACTACAAAAGCATTTTATTGCAAATGTCTGTACAAATGTTAATATCACACCACAGACCCTTCTCAATGATATTCAGTTACAACTGTCAAGAAGGCAATTACAGTAACAAATCAAAGGAAACCTCAAACAATTAATAGTATTGTTTCAGTATTTCAAAATCTTTAGTCAGGGGTACCATGGTAAGGACTCAAATGCTTCATTCATTGCATGCATTTCTCTCATTCTTACAACAC